CATTAGCACCTCTAGTAATATATTTACTGAGAAAAATGTTGACGTGTTCAATACTTATTTTACCCGCTGTATTATTGACGACATTACTAATAAGAGTGCCTTCATGCTTGTTTCACATCGTCTGATATATTTTATGTTTCCACAGAGGCTGGTTTTGGGGCTATGAGGAAACAAGAGCTCGGAATGTAACATGCATATCAGCTCAAGGTCATGCTTCAATCATGGCTCCCGTTCTTCAGAAAAACTTCTCAGCAACGTGAGTTGATTGAGTGATAATCACACATAGGAGGTCCTTTTTTTAAGAAAAAAAAAAACAACATTAAGGACTTCAATAATTGAAGCAATAGTTTTATGAAATTCAGTCCTTGGTCACTTAGGCAGAGTAGTCATTTATACATGCAAATTAGATTTTTCACAGTTTTGATATGCATTTATATATATATTTTTTTGTTAGGATGTTGCATCATTGCTCACCAAATGTATTTTATTAGTTCACTGAAAATGAGTAAATCATGTCCAAAAGACCATGACAAATAAGATAAACTTCCTTATAAAAACCGTATGTTTTAATGATTTTTCTCCTTTTTTGTTTTCCTTCTCTTTTTTTATCACATTGATACTTGGATGGTTTGTATGCCCTTTTTTTTTCTTGTAGATCAGTTATGCTTGATCGCGCAGAGACACTCCTCCATGATCACTATGCTGGGAAGGATTACTGGGATGTAAGTCAAGTAATATCACACGTTTTAGAAATCTTGTYAACAGGAATCACATTTGTGATCCAAGTTGGCAAAATTAGTTGGAATGAGAACAGGCTGCTGTGAAAACCTACATTTTTGCTGCAGTTGAATTTTACATAAAAATTAGTCCCTAAGGATACAAACTAGAGATGTGGGCAACTTAAACAGCGTATAATCTTATTTTATTTTTACAATCTATTTTAAAATAAAAGGTTGAATCCACACTTTGTTGTCTGTTTATATACAATTGACATCTGTTCTTTTTTTCTGTTTAAATTAGACTCGACGCAGCATGGTTTTTGCCAAGCACTTACGACTCATAGGTGATGATTTCAGAGCAAAATACCTGAACTCTACAGACGACAGAGATCATACAATATATAATGAAGACTGGACTCGCATGAAAGTGAGTCATTGTGTATTTTTATATTATTATTACTGTTATTATCCTATTATTGTATCATTTTGACATTTTCCCATTTCTTTGTTTATTTGGGGGGTGGGGGGGAGTTAAAAGTTTTATCTGTTACCATCTTTAATTGCAAGATTAAAACATTTTGGTGTCTTTAATGTATTGTGTAGTGTACACAACACATTCATTACTGGTGTTTTGCTTACTAAATTTAAGTACACTCTGTCCCTGTTTGCTCAAGCAGGCAGGAGAAGCCTCCAGTATGGAAAATAAACAGTGTTATCAGAAATGGACCAAACATATTTTAGCTGGCATAGTAATCAGCACACCCAAGAAAAAGTTTTATATATATA